TAAATTGTAGTGGTGTGTGGCCTGGGAGGTCTAATAATCATATTCAATTGTGTTTCAGCCTTAATTGCAGATCTGGTATTAAATCGAGCCACCTAGGCATCAAAAAGAGAAGAAAATTAAGGGTTAGTCACAAAACTGAGACAAAATGGAAAGGAGAAATGAAAAGGCATGCCAAGCTCTGCTAAGGTTTGTTCTTGGATGACATTGGGAGTGTTTTGAAAGTTACAAACACCCAAGATAAGTATTATACTTCTTAAACTCCCACTTTCTTCCACGTTATGAAATTTATGGTTAAGGTTTAATAGTAAAAGATGATTTTTGGTCCATATAGGATATGGGTCCGAATCTTTTGGATCAAATGGAGTTAATGAGAGTAGATTAGAGTAATATAGTTGCCAATTCTAAGTTGCATATAGTTGCACTTCCACTATTTTGTTATTGTAAATGTCTGAATTGTATTTTAGACCCTGAGTATTTATGTATGAAGAGATATATATATATATATATATGTTGATGGGGCCAAAATACTAGTGTAAGTGTAGAAATAATGTTTTAAACATGTTATAATAGTTTTTAATACAATGAAATGGCAATTGCCTCCCCTTTTTGTTTTTGGTAAAAAGGGATTGAAGAGTAATTTTACACTATACTAGTGTTTAAGTGCATGTGGCGTGTTGTAATAATAGGTCTATGTCCAATGGACGTGGCCCAGGTGTTATGAAAGGTTTTTGGCACTTGTTGTTGGGTTTTAGACACCCTTTTTATGTAAAAGTTGTAAAAAGTGATAAAAAATGTGTTTGGGTGTCCAACTTTCTGGTGTAACCTGTTTTGGAAGCGAAACCCATGCCATTAACTAATATATGGAAAGAGTTTTCCATAAACATTTAGATCTCATCATTCAGACGTCGAATAAAGAATCGGGATACATCATAAGTTTTTCAATTTTGCTATCAAATGGCAGCAAAATTTGATGATATTTTGTGCAACACGCCACGGCACAGAGAGCAACATGACATAATGCAGCATGTGCGAGCCACGGCAAATTGCCCTATTTCACAGTAATAAGTTATTTTTCAAGTGTTTTCGATTTCTTCCACTCCAGAGGCATCTCATGCTTCCATAACTTATTTTTACTCTGATATATAAGATTATTGTTAATTTAAATTCATTTTGATTAAGAAAATTTAGAATCCCTTGATTTTGAGTTAAAACTTGGTAATCGCCTTTATGGGTTAATCCTTGATTATCATGAATTTGTTTGATTAATTGTGGTTAGTAAAGTGAGATTTTACATTTTACACCCGGGTGTCTAATTCAAGATCAGACCATTTGATTGTGTCCAAACTTATCCCATTAGATAAAATGTGTTATAAGCTTCATGTGAACGCTTGAATTACTCTAATCGAAAGTCAAATGTGAAAATGGTGCATGGCAAAAGTTCATATCAAAAGTTTTCCATGACAGCAAAATCTGATACATGCACCGCAGCGCATGACTCAAAATTAGGGCATGCTGCTCTATAACATGCTGTAGAGCATGTGGTGTAAGCCATGGTACATGGCCTATTTTCGAGAAGGATTGTTTGTTTGTTTTTCTTGAAATTAAATTTGAGTCTATGCTTTCGTTAGCTCTTTTTTATTAAACATATTTTCTATGAAATTGAGATCCTGTATTTTAAAAATAAAAGAAGGGTCGTATCTTTGATATTGTATTGAAATGTGTGTGTGAATTGGTAAAATCTGAACGAAATGGAGGATTTTACAACTCCTCTTTCTTATTCATAACAAGAGGATTAATTGTGCTAGGCTAGATCTAACTTAGGAGAATATCTTACTAAGAAAGGTTTTGAAGTACTTCCTAACATAGAAATTCTGCTTCATTAATGAATTTTATTTACTAAAAATCTCTTTTAACAATTGCAACTTCCTTTAAAACACATTCTATTTGTATGGAAATTACCTTGCTAACACCAATTTGTGTTGATTTGGTTGTCAATGTTAGGAAACTATAGATCACATCTTTGCTCATTGTGCACTTGCTCAATACCTTTGGTTTGGTGGTTTGGATATCTAGACTACAACTTTCCAAGATGGTAGCTTGATTTCTTAGTTATTGTCCACTTTCATGCAACTTTTCAAGGATTCTCATCTTGATTCGATTCGACAAATTATCATTTTGATCAATCAATTATGGTTATTTTAGCTTCTAACTCAACTCTTCAATTAAGGAATTTCAATAATCAATGTTACTTTCTTGACCATATCTGCTGCTGGCCTTCTTCTTAGATATCACGCTATTAACTAATTTATGAAAAGAGCTTTCTGTAAATACCTAGATCACTTCATTCAGATATTGGATAAAGAAATAGGACACATTAGAAATTGGCCTTAATCACTATCAAATGATAGTAGAATTGCTATCTAATATGCGCAACACGTCGCGGTGCATGGCACAGAAAAGGGTAGCCATGACGCACTACCTTGTTTCTCATATCGTGATATTTTCCAAACTAGTTTTGAATCTTTTCACTCTTACAAGATGTCCATGCTTTTGAAAACAATATTTTACTCTGATTAGAAGTGTAACAAATGATTTTAATTTATTTTAAACTATGAAAACTTAGAATCTTATTTCTATAAATTACAAACTTAGTGATCCTTGTTGGGGCTAAACCCTTGATTACCTTGGATTTTCAAAGTTAAGTGTGACTTAATGAGGAAGATATTTCATCTAACATATGCAACATGAAGAGAGAAAATTTACAGTGGGTGTGCTACATCACAACTTGTAAATAATACTTTCTCGTCCCAAATAATAAGCAATTTTAAAGAAATATCATTGTCCCAAAATATAAAATAATTTGAAGAAAAAAAAAAGGATTTCATTAATAATTCTTTTTCAATATTACTCTTTAAGTCAAGATAGAATTGAAATGATTGTAAATTTAAAATTATATGTTTGGAAGAGCATTTTTAAAAGCTTATATTTTTATTTAAAAAAAATAAGATTGTAAATTGTCATTATTAAGCTTTATTGGTATGCATAATCTTATCTAAAATTATTTTATAATTTAAGACAAAGGGAGTATAATACTGGTAAATATTACAATAGAACCTATTATATTTATAATTTGGGACAGAGTATAATTTGGAACTTGGATAGATGTTAGGAGAAATAAGTCAATTATTTATTCTTAGGTTCTCAACTCTGTTAAAAGTATAATAAATTCTTGGAGACACAAAATGCTTTCTGAGGCTTCAAGGTTGACTTTAATCAAATATGTCCTTTCACCTTCCAATGTTAATCTCATGTCATGTGTCAAGCTTCCAAAATCTATTTATTTGGCAATAGATGCTACTTGTATTGATTTTTTTTTCTGGGGCTATAATGAGAACTCTAAGCATTTGCATCTAAAAAACAATAATATTATATTCTTGCCTATCACTCAAGGCAGTCTAAGCCTTCGATTGACGCACAGCACTGATAAACAATTCCTTGTTAGCCAAATAGATTTCAAGGATTATGAATGCCGATGCTAACTCTTTGTTGTCTATTACTCTGAAAGTCAAACATATAAATCTAAATTCCAAGACCATCATAAAAAACCTTACAATTCTTCATAGTTGTGGAAAGGAATATGCTCTTTTGCTAGCTTGATTTCATCTAATTTATAATAGAAAGTGGGTCTAGTTCAAATATCTCTCTGCATGATCCCTTCTAGTTTAAACCAACTTCTATATCTACTCTTTCTTCTTCTTTCACCTTTGATCCTACAGCTCTTTGTGCCCGCGATCTCACTCTTCATCATTCGAGTGGCCGATCTCTGTTAAAAAGTGAAATTCACAATGTATTTGATCTCTTTATGATTGTAGGTTTTCACATTTAATTCTTACCACTCCTCTTTCTTATTCAGAACAAGAGGATCAATTGTGCTAGGCTAGATCTAACTTAGGAGAATATCTTGTAAGAACGGTCTTGAAGTACTTGCCAACACAGAAATTCTGCTTCATTGATGAATTTTACTTGTTTGAAATCTCTTTTAGCAATTGCACCTTCCTTTAAAACACATTTTGTTTGTGTGGAAATTACTATGTAGAGCTCTCCCAGTTGGTGAAATTCTTAAAGAGCATCACCTTGCTAACACCAATTTGTGTCAATTTGGTTGTCAATGTTAGGAAACTATTGATCACATCTTTGTACGCTTGCTTGATCCTTTTGGTTTGGTGGTTTGGATATCCAAACTTCAAATTTCCAAGATAGTAGCTTGATTTCTTAGTTATTGTCCACTTTCAAGCAATTTTTCGAGGATTCTCATCTTGATTTGATTTGGCAAATTATCAATTTAATCAATCAATTATGGTTATTTTATCTTCTAACTCAACTCTTCAATTAAGGAATTTCAACAGTCAATGTTATTTTCTTGGTCACATAGCTGCTGGCCTTCTTGTCAGACACCAAAGTTGTCCTCTTCATCAAGTTCGCCATGGGTTGCAGCTCATTCTAATTTTGTTCCCAGGTGTGATTTGTGGATAATTTGGCTCAAGAAATTTAAAAAGGACGGAAAGCTTTTTCCATTCTATTGCAATCTGCCTCACTTCTCAATTTATCAATGGAAAGTTGGAGATGAAATAGACTAAAGATGCATCCCAATTTCCTTTTCTTTACTTGAGAGATGCTCTTTGGTGGATTAGTTCCTTTTGTGCTCATCATGATCTATCCAATACTACAATTCAAATCAACAACATTCATAAACAATATTTTTTTCCAACAACATTCTCTCGTCATTTCAACACCATAATCTTAGACATTAATCATTTGGTGCATGAATTTTGACATCATCATTTCCAAGTCATCTAAAAAGATTTATTTTACTATGCATTTACCTTCCCTACTGCTGTAGTTTCATAACTTTTCCCATACATCATGCTTATGTTAACTTTTGACTTAATATAAAAAAAATATTATACATTTTATAATTTATAATAATATATCGATGCTTAGAACAGATCGATAATAATGGTATTATAATAATTTATTCATGTGATTTTTTTAAAAAAATAACAAATATTGAAAATTACTTTGCTAAATTTAATCATTCAGAGATGCGTTTTACAAAAACCACTACTAAATCCTAATTATCTACATATTACATACAAACAAGTCTTGAGAGCCCCCGAGGGAGGGAATCCACTGTGTGTAGTGCCCACTAGTTTTTCTGATTCAGCCTATCCCAAAGCGACGCGCATTGTCTCCGGGCGAAACCCACGCGCTGTTTCTCCAAATCATACACGACTTCAAACCCTTGCTGCTGGTAATTCCCAAGCGTAGCCCCAGGTCCATCGCTTAGTTCTGCATCATCTCCACCGTTCATCAGCATCAGACAACCCACCTGCTTCTTCCGCCTCGTTCCATCTCCGCCGACTAAAAATTCGTAAAAATAGTTCTTCTTCGGCAGCACCACAACAGATCCCTTCCCCTCAAAACGCAGCGTTAGAGACGGAACTTCCGTTTCCGCCTTCACCTTCTCCATATAATAGCAGGGTCCCAATCCCGTCTTGTCTTCAATCTCACTCGCACGCTTGTGAACTTGTCCAGCTCGGCGATCGAACTCGGCCACCACTGAGTTATATAAACTCGCAGGCAACATAGTGAACGTCGTGCCGGAGTCAACCACCATACCGCCATTGCCCCTCTGGTCCAACCTCCTCAGCATCTCCGGTGCCGGAATAGTTTTCTTCCCCACGGAGATCGCCGCGAGACCAACACTGTAAAAATACGGGTGTTTCGGATTTTCAAGCATCGGTGTGTATACGAATTGAACCAGTTCGCCGTCAGTTCTCTCCTCATGACGACCGAGAATAAGCGGGCTAGGTCGGCGAACTCTTTGTTTATCAAACGAGTGAGAAATCAAGCAGTAGGAAAATTGATTCCCTAACTGGGGAGAGAACGTCGCCAGCTGAGCAGGAAGAGATAGCAATCCGCGACCGAATCCGGCGACTCCGACCGGTTCGCCGAGCGTGGTGTGGGCGCATCCGAAGGTGAAATTCCTGAGAATCAGAGAAGAAACAGATACAGAATCGCGGTAGAGACGAGCGATCAAGCTTCCATCGGCGTACGCGTAGTAAAACGGAGGGCAAGCGAAAGAAGAACAATCGGACGTCTCGATGGATTCCAAGGGACACCGAGAAATTGCGCAGAGATCGGAGGACGATAGAGAGGTGTGAGCTGCAGAACATGCAGAGGATTTACACGAAACAGCTTGAGTCCGAGAGATATTGGGTGGTCTGGGAAAGAGCGAAGGATTTGATTTTCCTTCACAGAGTATACACTCGAACGGAGCACAAGGGAACCAGACGAGGTCGCTTCCTGTGTCCATGTACAGAGTTACTGGTTGGGGAGGATCGGAGCCGAGGAGGTTGAAGGAGAGAGTGTAATCGCTGCCGGCGGAGAGAGGCAGGGAGAGTTGTTGTTGCCGACGGTGGTGGTGGTGGTGGTTGTGGAAGCGAGCGGCGGAGCGAGAGGAGGTGGATTTGAGGAGGTGATGAGTACTGTTGAATTGGGTGGAAGAGAGAGTGTGTGATAAAGGCAATAGAAGCATTTGTGACGAAGGGGGAAGGCATGAAGATGAGATTAAGACGAAGAACAAGAGGAACAGTGATGAAGAAGACGACATTGATGAATGCAGGAATCTGAAGCCGCCAGAAAACAGAGTAATAACTTCAAGAACAGAGGATGAAAGAGAGGACGAGCTTTTTAAATTTGGTGAGAGAGAGAAAGCGAGAAGGGAGAATTTATAAGGAGGATGAAGGCTTATAGGTAGGTGTAAGGTACAGATGTATCCATACTAAAAATCACTTTAGGAGAGGATTTTATTTTATTTTTTAAATTACAGAGACAAGTACGAAAACAACAAGAGAATAAAAAAAGGATCACACCTGCAAACTCTTATTTGAGCCAGGATCTCTCGCTTGAATGAGAGCTTCCATGTGTTTTTTGAAATTAATTTATCTTTTCATGATAGCTGGTAGTGTTGGAGAAATTTGATTTTTTTAGCAGAGTTTAGAAGGTGAAAGCTTTGTGTGAGTGAAAAATTGTGTTTAATTTGTAAAGTGATCCTTAATAATTGCTTAGCAGCCAGCTTAGGTCGCACTCATACTTAAGAATAATGAGGGGTTGAATTTTGTTTTGGTGCCAGCAATTTGTATGTACTGCCTTCATTTTTATTTATTAAAAAAACTATTACTTTTTACTTATTTTTTATATAAGTAAAATTACTTATTTTAATAATCATTTATTATACATTTTTTAAATCACCCTTCATAATTTATATTAATAAAAAATAATTAATGAATGTTTATATTAATTAACATAAAGCATTTTAGTCTATTTTTTTATTTTCAGATATAATTATTATGGTTAATTAATTTTTTTAAATTATGTGATATAATTTTTTTCCTTATATATAGAACAGAGAGAATACTCCTTTGTTTAATGTTAGAAGGTATTTTGAATCAAATTACAATCCTAATAAATTGATTAATTATTTTTAAAATTGTACATTTTTTCATGTTTATTTTCATTTAATGGAGTGGCTCAACTAAAAAATCTTATTAATGCATCCTCTAATTAAAGATATTTAAAAAAGATTTATTAATTGTGCTTTAAAAGATTCAAAATACTTTATATTTGTTAACATGTGATTTTAAAAGAAAATGTTTTATATTTTTGAAAAGATGGAGTATGAATAGAAGTGCCTATCATACTTTTATAATAGTAAAATCATTTACTAAGGGCTAGAAAAAATTATTTGACAGGAAAGCAAATGGAAATATATTATTAAATCTCATATTTCTTCTATTAAAAAATATAAAATATTTTTTAAGATAATAAGTTAAAAAGTATACTCTTTCTATTAAAAAATGTGAGGTATTTTTAATTAAATTTGACCCTCAATATGCTTTTCAAACTAACTTTATATTTTTATATTTATTTTTATTAAACACCCTTCGATAAATATAAATTCATTTATCAATAGAGACACTTTTAAAAAAAATTAATAATTACATTTCAAAAGACTAAAAATGCTTTACATTTTTTAACATCTAACTCTTCAAAAAAAAATTTATATTTTTGAATAAAGGGAGTAAATATTTTGAGTTTTTCAAAGTATAATTAATAATTTTTTAAAAATATCTTTAATTAATAAGTTTTTTATGTAATTTTAAAAATAATGAACTAACTTATTCAAATGTGTGATTTAGTTAAAAATATATTATAATATTAAAGGAGTAAAATTTTAATTATGTACTCCTCTTTATAAGGCATTTCTAACATATTTTAGTAAAATCAAGAAAAAACATAAAACTTATTAACTCCGTCTATAAATTTAATAATTTCTTAATTTTTTATTAAATATTCATACTTTAACAATATATATTTTTTATGTAATATTCAATTAAGGTCAAATAAAAAAATTGCAGTGAAAATTTAATAAGATAACTTATAGATAAAATTTAAAAAAATTCTCTTTATCCTATAAGTAAGACTCAAAATAACTCAATCATTGTATTTTTTACTCCCTTTATTAAAAAATATAAAGTAATTTTAGTCTTTTGAAGTATAATTATTGCCTTTTTTCTAAAATATCCCTATTGATAGTGACTTTATATTTATTATAGGGTGTTTAATAGAAATAAATATAAAAATATATGGTTAGTTTAAAAGTAAGTAACTATTTTATTATGGGTGAAATTCAGTTAAAAATTCCTTACATTTTTTAACGGAAGGAGTATGATTTACTAATTAAAAATAACTCAATCCTTAAAAATTTTTAACTTGATACAACTTAATTTTTATAATTTTTTAATTCAATGACTCAAAGTTTATGGATTAAATTAATAATTGAGAGAAATTTTAAAAAATTAAAATTTAAGTTATACCTAATTTTAAAAAGAAGTCTTAAAAAAAATTAGATAGTACTCGTATATTTTATGGAGAGAGTATATCAGAATTAACCTTAACAATTTCATATAAAAACATCTAATATTTGCAAAAAAAAAATAAAAATAATCTCTAATATTTTGAAAAAATAAAAATAATCTCTTTACTTTTATTTATAAGTCATTTCTAACATTTTTATTATAACTAAGAAAAATTTTAAACCTCATTTAATTCTATCTAAAAAATTAACAAGCTTTCAACTTTATTCATATTCAATATATATACTTTAATAATAGAGAAAAACTTATATACTTAACCTTATATATTTAATATGCTTGTTTCTAATCAAATCTAGACATGTAAATATTGTATAGATTATTTATTCTATAATAAATTTTTGTTATGATTTCATTAGATATAAGTATATTAAGTAGATAAAGCTAATTACATAAGTCTTACCCTTAACAATAAAACATTCTTGCATCCAAAAACATTTCCAACATTTAATCAGAGCACAAAGGTAAATATAAACACAATAATCATTAAGGTGATATATAAATGTGAGTAAAATAAATGCTCTCTTTGCTTTATAAATAAAACTAAAATATTATTTAATAATACTACCTACATTTTAATTTATATGATACTTTTTAGACAAAACTACATATATCAATAAAAACTGATTAAATACACTTTACAATCCTTTTCTTTCAAAACAAAAATATAGACATTAAAAATACCTTTCATTTAAAATTATATCTGTGAAAAAATATTGAAGAAAGATAATATATGATAAGGATAATATTAACAAAATATCATTAATAGAATCTTATTTTTGTTAAAGTGTATTATACTCCTCTGTTCCTAGAGCCTGAGAGAAAATATTAATCTTAATAATATTTATAAGACACTTTACTATTTTTCATATATACATTTTTTATCCTTATTAAATATTATAAAAAATATTTTTTTTTTGCTTTTATTAGGAGTAGATGTAAAAACTTATTAAATTTTAAGATAAAATTATTAAAATTTATTTAAGATTTTTGTTGATTTTAATAAAACATGTTATAAGTTATTTATAAGTAGATGAAAGAATATTTTTTAGCATCAAATTTTTCCAAAAATGCTATGTAAATTGGGGACGAAGGGAGTGATATTTATCATGTTGATGACAATTATATGAAAGCTGGCTGTAAAAGCTTTTGGTAAAGTACTTGCGTTTTAGGGAAGGAAGAATGATAATTAGTTTTAAAATAGTGAATTAATTAGAATTGTTAATTAAAGTTGAGCTCATCAAGTTGATCCATTTAAACTCAAAAAAATTTTAAGTCAAATCACTATTTTAGAGTACAAAATAATAATTTAAAAGAGCCAGCCCATCAAGGCTAGGGCCAGCCCTTTTATATTTTTTTTTAAATTTTAATGTTAAAAAATTAAATATTATACTAATTTTAAAATACTAGCCTCATTTCATGTGAATGAAGAAGAAATATATTAAAGTTTAATATGTTTGTCACTATTGAGACTCCACAAAGAAAAGAATAGAATTATATTAATGGTGATAATAATAAAAATTATCAAGATTTTGTTAATAATGCTAGTAAAGTTTGATTGTTATCAATATTAATTTTGTGATATTGTTGTTTTTTATCAGACTTAAATTTATCATTGTGTGTATTGACTTGAATTTATTTTTATAAATTTAATGTTACGTGTAATAACTTTTTCAGAATTTTAAATATATATTTTTTTAATTTTTAAATTAAAAAAATATAGGTTGAGGCTCTGAGAGCCAAGGCTGGACTGCCCAAAATGAAGTCCTAAGATATAATTGAGTTTTATAGGATCATCCCGTTTAAGCCTAGCCCTTCAAGGGCTACCTCTAGAATTAATATCAATTAAGTTTTCGACAATTAAATATTATTATTTTTATTAATTTAAATAATTACAAACAGAAATTTCTATTACAATCTAAAAATTACATTTAATATTTAAATATTGATATGTAATTGAAACTTTTAAATTTATAATATTTTAAATTAATATTTTTAACTTATTTTTTTAAAAAATTTGTCAAAAAGTTAATTGATACTCCTTTTGATCTCATTTGTAAGGATTATTTTAAAATGTTTATCTAGTTTTATTTATAAGTTATAATTCAATTTTTTAAGTAATATTTAAAAAATATTTTAAAATTACTCTTTATGAGTGAAAAAAATTAACATGATATTATTTTTTAAATTTATTATATAAATATATATTTAAAATTGAATATATTTTTATTTTTCTAATTTTTTAATATTAATATTAATAAAGTTAATAAAAATAATTTATAAAAAAATTGGATATGAAAAATTCATTGTTGACTGAAAAAAAAATCTAACTGTCATTCTCACTTTACGAAAACGTGGGAAAGGAGAGTGAAAGGGAGAAACGGCGTGAAAGTGTGGGAGAGAACGGAGTGAAAGTGCGGATATGATCGCTGGGAAGTGTGGGCCCCTCTTTACTGGTGACGGCTGGCATAAATCGAATGCGACGCCTCTTTTGAAATTCTCAAAGCAATCTCTAAATCATTTCATTTCATTTATTTATTGCAATATTAAACATCTACAGTCTTGAGTCTTCAGTTCACCATCATTTGTATACCTCTCATTCCCTTGGTGCTGTTTTTTGCTTAAAAGGAAAAATAATTTTTTAATCTTATTTGAAAATAGTTCTTTTATTTCTTAATTAAATGTTAGTGAACGAAACTGTATTATTAAAATATTCCTACTAAAAAATTGGCTCACGTTTAATACTCATTCTCAAACAAATCTCAGATAAAAATTACTAATATACAAATTTCAAAATGTATTTATAATTTTTTTAAAATTAATATTCATAAAGGAGTCTATTTTTACAAGATAAATTGTTCAATTTTTTATTTTAGACATGATTATCATACGTAACTAATTTTTTAAACTG